GGAAGCGTCTAGAGAGAGCGTTAGCAAGTATTCGACGGGTTTCTCCAACTTTCCCCGAGGTGGATTAAATCTCTGGCTTTTCACCCCTCTTCGAAAGAAAACCCAAGTTAGCTCACACGAAAAAAGTGAACTGAGTTATCCCATCACTAGTGCGCAACTCGAAATAAAATCTGGGTGTACCCAATGGTTTCTTACAGTGTTGTTCGCTGCAGATGGTGGGGCGTGTCAGAAGTGAAGGGTTTGGCACGGCACCAAGTCCGCTTTCCACCAGCTGTTGAGGTGGTCAAGCGACAAGACCGCATCATTTTGATCGTATCAGTCGTTTTTCACAGACCGTTGTATTATTCGCCTCAACAACTGGTCGAAAACGGATTTGAATCCATGCCACACCGAGCCTCACTGACACGCCCCATCATCCGCAGCGAACAGACTATATGTTGCGCTACAGCCACAAGCAAGAAACAGATGTAGCACGTGCACAATGAGCGGAAGGTCGTGGAATTGACCAACTTGGTCGCGTTTAGCAGTCTAAACACGAAGCTACAGTAGTAGCAATTAGCATGCGTTGAATCAGATGACGTTTGTGACGAAAAATGCTCATACATACGCGAGACAAAAAGCTGGTTGCTTCGCGACCACCGCGCCCTGATGTCCACATGTTGCACCTGCTATTATGCAGTGGACATGATCGCTGGGGGCGGGCAGGTGAGAGGGAGGTTGGTCACACTCAGCCTTTCCACCAATGATACCGGCGACAACCGCCCGCCCCAGCGATCATGCCCAACTGTTTTTTTGAGTTCCCAAAGAGGTAATCATGCAGGAAAGGAAGATACAGTTGGATTCTTAGAAAGGTACTATCGACAAAAAGGGGGGGGGAAAGGGTCCTATGTCCACGCTGACTAGCGGTTCGACAGCTGCGAAAAGGCGGAGGGAGCGATTATCATCGCTGCCCCTGTGCTCTCTGACATCGACTCTGCGCTCATATACACGCCGACGCGCTATCTACTCGCTCTTCCGTCTGGAGTCTCATCGATCGATAATGGCTGACGCGCAGTCAGCTGATTTTTGCTGTATACAGCTTCTGAAAGCTGGAATTCTTCTTTGTTCCTCTAATAGAAGAAGGTAAGTATGTTTTAGTGGAAGTATATGTTTTTCTGCATGATTTTAGTCAACTACATTGAAATCAACCAAGAAGTTCAATGAAAATTCAAAGCCAACTACATTGAAATCAACCAAAAGTTCAATGAAAATTCAGAAAAAGCGAAAATAACGTGCAGAAAACGATTTTCATCAAGAGGTTCTTCCTAAAATCACGCAAAATAAGAACTAGCTCCAGTAAACATAGAACCTTTTCTTTCTGAAGTCAGACGAATATAGTTTTGGGCTAGATCAGCAGAAACCAGCTGACGTCAGCCACTATCGATTGGCGAGAGCCCAGACGGAAGAGTGAGTAGATAGCGCGGCGGAGTGTGTATCACCCCAGAGTCAAAGCGGTAAGGCATGAATTGCACCGAAACGCAGCTTCGGACCGCTCGCCTAACATGGGCGTAGGAACGCCCTTGTGTACGAAGAGAACCCGACTGTATAATGAATTCAATTCAGAAAAAAAATATTTACATCTTGGCTGTGTAGTCGGAACGTTGCTCCACCGTCTTGAGATTCGTAGCCGAGTGGTGGTTGATTCTCGAGTTGTGGTGTACCCTGATACGATGAATAGGCTTGTGAAGGTTGTTGCTGTTGTTGGGGCATCATAGCCGGAATCAGTTGTGGGGGTTGAGATTGCAGTGCGTAGGAAGGCGAAGTGTTGTGCGTGTCAAGCGGCTGTTGCGAATAAGCCGATGAATACGTTGACGCCGGTGGCGCCATCATTGGCGCCGCGCCTATCGGCTGATGAAGCGAAAAGCCGGTAGCTGCGTGCGCGGATTGATGCATCTGCACAAACAAGACAAGCTCATACACAAACCAAAATCGAAAAAAAGACCAAAAAAAAACAAACACTTCAATCGCATAACAGTCAAACTGCAAAAACACTCACCATCGCATAGCCTGGCTGCTGTTGTGATTGTTGTGCATAATGAGGGCATATGTTGGGTATACATTTCTGGACTATACGCTGGTTGACCAGGCATTTGTGGGGGTTGCACCAGACCAGTAGGGTATTCGCCATACGATGGCATTTGACCCGGAATATAGTTTAGCATGCCATTTGAAAGGCTTGAACGCAGCTGTAATATGTATTTTGAGAAGGCTGGCTACGACGTTGATTAACATGTTATGAATGCTGCCATGTAGCCTCATTAGTACCTGAATATACCGCAATATAAAAATGCCCAACAAACTATCACGAGAAGAACTCTGACACAAAAAAAATAAAAGTTTTGCAAAAAAATTCTTCAAATATCCGTTCACCGATGTTAAATACATGAAGCAAAAGAAATTGGTTCGAATAGGAGGGTACAGAAAACCCTGATGGGTTGGTTGGTTGGTTGGATTGTTTAGAGCCTATTCAAACCAACCCTCTTAATTAGTGTTATTCAAGCCGCTGAGGAAGAATTTATGCACCACAATATTCGGAGAAAGATCTTCGCAAGGCATCGTCCAGACATCGCGATGAAGCGCGTCGACGTGCTGTAACTAGCTGTAGCGCGCTGTCATTGGAACAGCGTTCATATCCCGTAGACGCGAATGTAGCTGCAGAGAATCAATCGGTGTCAGCCACTTGTTTTGAGGAAGTATAGGATAACAAGAGGACGGGTGCTGCCTCCAAACAGTATGGTACTCTCCCATTCTTCTGTCCCTCCTGAAGCCCCAACGACGTGCGCTGATCGATACCAGACTGCGTGATGAACATGCTCCGGACAGCGTGACACACATGGTGTGCCATGATTTCATCTTTAAGTGGTGTTCTTTGATTAATTTAGCTTTCCTTCCAGGTTCTTGTTTTGTCAAAATACATTTTCGGTCACGGAAGATACTTGTCTCATAATCGATGAAAGGGGTAGGACATTTTCAGTGAATCACCTGTTAGAAATAATGAAATGACTCGGCGATGCGCGCGGTACGGTGGTCTGCAACGTATCAAGCAACCTATACCCTCCTGTTCCCCCCCCCCTACTCCCTCAACACACAAGCGGGCAGTACCGATCGACTTCCGTCTGCAGCTGCCTACTAGCATTGAGTGCTTCTGCAATAGGAACACGTCAACACGCGCCATCGCGAACTATGTACGCTTCCTAAGGATTTTGTAATTTTCCCTGAAATACTTGGAGTATATTTAAAGGAATTTTGGCTTTTTCATAACAAACAACACTTAGTTGGATAGATTATTATATCACTAACGGTGTATCGCAGATCTATCGATAGGGTATCTCAATTTTAAGCCTTTCGCAATCGCTTTTGCAACCCTAGAGAATCGCAGAGCGCTCGAATCAGAGAAAGCGCGCTAAAGGTTTGAATGGGAATCGATGTACCGAATCCACAATTCCCGCATTCTCCGCTTCTCCCAATTAGCTGCCGAGCAGAGTCGATCAATTCTCATCTTTTCCATTGACGCACAGTGTCCCAGCTATTGCATTCTCCGACGATTCGCGCATTCTCAGTTTCTCTCAATTAGCTCCTGAGCAGAACCGATCAATTCCCATCTTTTTCATTGACGCACAGTCTCCCGGTTATTGCATTCTCCGATCCTACACTTAAAAAATGAAAACGGTCTTAGGCGTTGTAGAAACAACTTACCCGCATAAAATAGCACCAAAGAGCCGAATACAAATACAAACATATTTGCAACAACCAAGCGAGAGTGGGAAACGAAGAAGAGCAAGACCTATCAAGAGATCGGTTCGGAAGTTCACCTGTTGTGGCTGAGCATAGGGACCTTGCTGTGGCTGCGCATACCCATAAAAGTCTTGTTGCTGTTGTTGATGAGCATATGGTTGTCCATAACTTGGTGCATTTTGGGTACTGTGAGGCAAAGTTCCATATCCGCCTCGAGCTGATTGAGGTGGAGCTGGTGGAACTTCTATAAAAAAATTGTAGCATACCAAATGGTAACTCGAAGTTCGTGAAAAACAGTAAAAAATGACCTTGATAGACACTCGGTTGAGACAATGCACGACTGATACGTTGCTGGTCTGGGCTAATATTCATAAGGGATACTTGCTGGGCGAGATCTGTCAATTTGCGATCCAACTCGCGAATGAGTTTAGCATTTGGTGAATCAGAGCCAGCCGCATTCTTAAAAATAACAAATCACCTTACTAGACTTTCAGAAACAGTTACGGGATATAAATTTCAAAAAAATAGCAGACTCACAGATTGATCACCTCTGTTCATCACAGCAAAGAAGGCCGCTTTTCCTTTTTCAGCACGTTCTGACTCAGTCATCGTACTGAAATCGCCAAATCACCGAAAAGACAAGCAGATAAAGAAATGAAATCAAAATTGGTTTCCACCTCATTAGCGCCTTCCGTTTTTCATGATCACGGCGTTTTTCTTCGAGTGCGAGTCTGATTGAGGCTGTCGGCAACGAGTCGCTCCTTGCATATGGTGAACATCCCGTTGTAGACAGGTTACCGTTACTACCATCATCAGGCTAAACAAATGTGTTCATCCGCCAATCTGATATGAGTTCCACGAGAAAGGGTTAAATCATAAAAAGATCCTCCTTCGAGGTAGCCACAGCGTAATAGCAACACAAGTGAAGAGCGTCACAAATCCCCTGGTCGGTCATTCAGCCACATCAGGCAGTCGTCAAGCGCCGCCATTATCAAATTAAATAAATACATGAACAAATTAGACTATTGCCAGAGCCTACTTTTGATATGAACAAGGGGCTTATAGACAGCGTTCAGACTTCGCGACGGACAGCGCTTCGGTCGCGCGTTCGACGCGATCGATGCGCATGCTTTCGACTGCGTCGAACGCGCGACCGAAGCGCTGCCGTCGCGAAGTCTGACGCTGCCATAAAGTAAAGTTCATCAATGAAGTTATTTTTCGAACGGAATTTCAAGCACTCTGTTTTGCAAAATTTTATTTTTCTAAAGTTATATAGGTACGAATTTATGCCCACAAAGAGGTAAAACTCGTGCGCCACTGGTATCTTCCCCACTGCCCGGAGAAAATCCTCAACGGCAAATTTTTTCGGAATAGTTGGTGCCCACAAAAGGACTAAGTAATGCTCAGACATGGAAACTTTTCTATCCTTTAGCACCAGCTTTTGTTTTGCTCTGGGTCCTGTGTTATCGACGTTTTCGCCTTATTGAAAGATTGAAAACACGCGTGCTCAAGAAATTCTCATCATAAATAATTAATTTAATGCAAAGCCTTGAAAATCTACGTTTCTTCATCATCAAAGTCTAGTACCGGTCTGGCTGAAGATTCCTAGGGACCACGACCAGCCATTCCTCTCGCTCTGCAATATGCTGCCTCTGAAGGATGTTACAAGCTCTCCAGCAGGCTCTAAGGTGACAGCAAGTGAAATAGTGCGCTCCGATGCCAACACGTGACGCAGTTGGGACAAAACCAGCTACGCTTTACCCACTAAGGGTTTACGTTTTTATTTTACTATTTTCATGAAGTGAGAGTGCCGGTAAGTAAGCGGGTCGGATTGACGCCAAGTTTTGGGGGATGGGTCGTATCGAGGCACCATTTTTCTTCAACGTACCGGAGTAACCGTGAACACTCACAGTACAATCAATGAAGTTTACAAAGAGTATGAGAAGCAGTAAAACCTACCTGAACGAGGCGACCAAAATTGGTGACGTTTGCACCCCAGTACTCGGGCGGTTGACGTTGTGGTGCGACTCGCCATGAATCTTGTGTTCTGAAATATCAACGCATCAATTGTTAGGATGACTAAAGTTGATAAATTGGTAAAGAATCATACCTATTTGTTAGCAGACTGTCTTGACTCATCATACTGATCGAACGAGATGGTACAGAAACAGGAACTCCAGCTGGAGTTGACGTCACATGCACGTTGCTGAACGGATTCCTGACTCTTGGCGGATATTGGCTGCGAGCTGCAGAGTTGGCAGCGCGCAAATCCGGAATCCCTTGCACGGGAACGAATCGCCGAGGTGATGTGACAGGTTCAGGCTGCGCCACAACTGGAGAAATCAATGAAAAATTATGATGCGATAACACGGTCATAAGTAAGTAGAATCTGCTGAGCAGAAGTACACAGGATTCATGGTTTTCGAGCACCACTTTCGAGTAAATAATGGCTTAAATGATGAAGGAATAAAATAAATGGTGGTCTGTAACAGATCTAAAAGGAATCCGTGAATGAGTACTATCGGAAACAGCTAGGATTCTTGATCGATGCTCGTGTTGGATACCGTTCAGTGAGCGTTCACTAGTGAAATTTCAGAAACTAACAACTCCTTTTTTTGCGGAACAGATGTTTGACAAAAAGGAAATCTCACACAATCGATCATGCTTCATCAAAATGCTACATATGAAGAATTATTTGGTCTTCAAATTATAAATGGGACAAACTTTTGTTATTGGAGCACGACACAGCTATCCTGCGACAGCTTTTCATACAATAATCAATGAAACTTGGACTAAAAATAGTAGGGAACGCCATACAATAGAAAGATTGATGGATGCTGATAGAAAAGGACTGCTTCAATCGCGGTACTGCACCCGGTCTAGAGAGGCCCGACTGGGTACTCAAGCGTTAGATGGTACGCGAATGAGACTTTACTGGCAATATCTCAAAAGTGTGGATTCGTGGAAACAAGACTTTTCATGGAAAAAGGAGGAAGTTTCAAAAAAGTTAATCAATCTTTTTTGGGATGCGGCACGCATTCTGCTTCCATTCAGAATCATAGTGGCTTACTGAATGCGACCTGCCCTATACAGTGACTTGCGGGGACCAGCCGTTGCAACCAGTGCTTCTTACCCTCCCAGACAATCTGTTACCAGTTTACCGTCCCCGCAAAGCCGACGGCCTGATAGACCTAGGCGGGAACCGATCCGGGGTTTGACTCCCTTACAGAGTTCACGGTAAGCGGGCCAATGACAACTGTGTAACTCCTTGAGCTCGATAACCTTTAACCCTGCATACTTTTATACAAAGTTCATATACATGAATGAACAACTGTACCTGCAAACCCACCGGTTGGAGCAGGTTCAAAAATTTCAAACAAATCAGCAAGAAAAACGTTGATATTCATTTGTAGTGAATCATGAAGATAAAGAATATCTTCAATATC